CGGCTGAAAGCAGGTATCTGGGGTTTATTTATCTTCTATAATTGAAACTTTGTTGCCTTGAGTGGAGCTCAGAGCCAGCCGTGGCAGGCGGGAAGCTTGGCTTCCTCCATCACTGGAGCAGCCAAGCCTCCTGCTTGCTCCAGCTCCATGGCTGCCAGCTGCCATCTTGGTTGGGTTAATTTGCATATAGTCGCTCTGACTGGCTGGTGGGCATGGCTTAAGGCGGAGTGAAGGTACAGTCAATTTGCATGTTTGTATTTTATCAGTGTAGACTAGAGGCCCGGAGCACAAACTCATGCACTGAGGGGGGTCCCTCAGCCCAGCATGTGCCCTCTCACAGCCTGGGAGCCCTCAGGGGATGTCTGATGGCTTAGGCCAGCAGTCAGACATCCTTAGCACTGCTGCAGAGTTGGGAGAGGCTCCCCCGCACTGCCACTGCGCTCATCAGCCATGAGCCCGGCTTCTGGCTGAGCAGTGTTCTCCCTGTGGGAGTGCACTGACCACCAGGAGGCAGCTCCTCCGTTGAGTGTCTGCCCTCTGGTGGTCAGTGTACATCATAGCAACCGGTTGTTCCGCCATTCAGTTGATTTGCATATTAGCCTTTTATGCCTGCAGGATCGAGCCAAAACCTGCTCTCCAACATCCCCCGAGGGGTCCCGGATTGCGAGAAGGTGCAGGCCAGGCCAAGGGACCCCACCGGTGCAAGACTGGGGCAGGGGAGGGGTGCAGGAGGTTGGCCAGCCAGGGAGGGACCACGGGAGGGCTCCAGGGCATGTCCAGCCCATCTCGTAATCCTGATGGGCCAGACCCCAGCAGCAAGCTAACCTACCGGTCAGAGTGTCTGCGTCCTGGTGGTCAGTGATCATCATAGCGACCGATCGACCGGTCGACTGTTTGCTACCTGGTGGTCAGAGCACGTCATAGCAAGCAGTTGAGCAGCCTTAGCATATCATTAGCATATTACGCTTTGATTGGTTGAATGGATGATCAGACAACCGGACACTTAGCATATTAGGCTTTTATTATATACCCACCCCCGCACCCCCAGACAAAGTAAGAACAGGACTTGCATCCCCTCAGGCTATTCAGGAAAGGGAAGAGAAGTGCATCAGCATTTGTTGGCAATCAGAACAGGAAGGAGGGCTTGGCGAAGGAGGGGGATTCTCCTCTAGACTTAGTCCATTCCTAGGTATATACTAGGTGTACCGGTTAATAATGGCGGCTTTTGTAATCAAAGAAAACACGATAATTTCAAGCAAAGTGCTTTATTCAAAGTAATGTCCATTGCTAGCTACACATTTCCCCTTCAGGTAATTTGTGGATACTGTCCCAATAGAACTTTTCTTGTTTTGAGGCAAACCATTCACAGACCAAATTTTCCACTTCTTCGTATGTTTTGAAGTGCTGCTCAGAAAGTGCATGTGCCATCGATCAGAACAAGTGGGAATCTGAAGGAGCTAGGTCTGAACAAGTGGGAATCTGAAGAAGCTATAGCAGGTGGGTTAATACCTCCCAGGCAAGATCTTTTAACGTGTCTTTAACTGGTTTTGAAGTGTGTGATGGTGCGTTATCATGAGCAAAATTACTTTGCTGTGTCTTCTTGCACATTCTGGTCGATCAAAGCGTGGTTCAAATTGATTATTTGTTGATGGTAGCGATCAATATTAACGGTTTCACCTGGTTTTAGAAGCTCATAATACACCACACCTTCCTGATCACACCAAGCACAGAGCATTGTCTTCTTTCCAAAGCAATTTGGCCTTGCAGTCGATGTTGATGGTTGACCTGGATCAACCCATGATTTTGCACCTTTGGGATTCACAAAATAAATCCACTTTTCATCGTCAGTCACAATTCGATACAAAAAAACTTTCTTTTATGCCGTTGAAACCACATTTTACTGATGACTTTTCGGTTTTCCATTTGTCTTTCGTTCAGTTGATGTGGCACCTGTTTTCCTTCCTTTAAAATCTTTCCCATTGCTTGTAAACGATGGGAAATTGTTTGCTAAGCAAGGTTTAATCTTTCTGCAAGTTGTTTTTGAGTTTGACACACATCTTCATCCAATAATGCTTGTAATTGTTGGTCTTAAAACTTTTTCAGTTGACCTGGACGTTCTTTGTCTTTCACATCAAAATCATTACTTTTAAAGTGTTTAAAACAGCGTTCACAAGTATGTTGAGATGGAGCATGTTCACCATAAGCTTCCCGAAGTATACAATAACTTTTTCTTCAAAATAAAATAATGAATTAAAACTTACCACAAATGCTCTTTTTTTGGCACAAAATTAGACATTTTTAAAAATATGTATTTTATTGATTTTTTACAGAGAGGAAGGGTGAGGGAGAGTTAGAAACATCGATAAAAGAGAAACATCCATCAGCTGCCTCCTGCACACCTCCTACTGGGGATGGGCCCGTAACCAAGGCACATGCCCCTGACCAGAATCGAACCCAGGACTTTTCAGTCTGCAGGCCGATGCTCTATCCACTGAGCCAAACCAGTTAGAGCAAAATTCAACATTTTTAAGCGTAAAAATATCTATGATGTTAACACCTTCAGCAAATTTGACATATGAAGTTTTGAAGCTTGCTGTCAATACAACAAAATAGCATATATATCAAATCGCATATATATCAACATATGTGTAACTCCATCTATTGAAAAAAATCTGCATTATTAACTGGTACACCTGGTACCTTGGAGAAATACATGTTCTAGGAGGCAGCTATGAGAATGTTTCTAGCAAAATTAATGTAACAACAAAACACTGGACACAGCCAAAATTTCCAACAACAGAATTGATACAGTAGGATATTAGCATAGATAAGCTCATAGTTTTTTTGTTTCTTAAACAAGCCAGGGAATATAATTCCACTTAGAGAACAGTTCAAAAACAAGATCAAACCATACACTGAATAGGGCACATGTTTGCTAAAGCCAGACAAAAATGGAACAGTAAACACAAAATTCAGCACAATAGTTTTCTCTAGGGTGGAAAGAGATCAAGTTGGTGAGCACAAGGCTTTCAGTGCTGCTGAGAATTGCCCTATTTCTTAAGCAAGGCGGTGGGTACACGGGCATTGCATTTTAATACTCTGAAATCAGAGATACAATCATCATGGCAGTTGTGATGAAACTATTACCTCAGAGATACTATAACCAATGCCTTCTCCTATATTTTCACTCTAGTGTATGCACAAAAGTGGTATGTCTGAAAGGTCTAGTCTCTTTAAATTACATTTATTCAAGGTAAGTAATTACAAAAACCCTTATTTGGTTATTAGGAAAAGAAGGAATAATATCCCTATTTTACAGATGAGAATACTGAGGCTCAGAGAAGGTGACTTGCTACAGTTGCACAGTGGGACCTTTGCTTCTGCCCACTTCAATCACAGCCATCTCGGGTATGGGGAAGAGGCAGAGCAAACCAGTCTAAGGAGACTGGGCTGGCACCAGAACCTGGGACATCAGCATTCTTGCCAACATGGTCCCATATTCCATGGAGATGAGCACCAAATTCACTGGATTGAGGGGAGGGAAAGGTGGATTGCCAGGGAGTGGTTTTCAAACTCCAGTGAGCTCATAGCCCTTAGCTGGTCTTATTTCAAAAGCATCCTTCAGCTGTATCTGGCTCCTAGGCTTCTGTCCCCCGCCTCTGGTATGACCTGCACTGCAACCATAAACAGACCACCCGCCTGGAATTCCATGGCCCAGTCCTGATTGGGGCTGCTTCTCTCTGCAGCCCAATCCTCCCGAGCTGCTAATTAAACTTCTGAATGGTTTCTCTGTACCACATCTTCAAGAACTTTCTTCTTCTGGGGTTCTGAAAACAAATTCTGAAACGTCACATGGAGGAGGTTATGAGTTAGATCACAGCATCCTGATTGCATGGGTTCTCAAGCAACAAGGTTTGTGACTTTCACAAAACTCGTCATGGGAGGGGGTCTCTTCTGTTGGTAGAGGGAATGGTGGACCTGCTCAGGCCTGCTCACGTCCTCTGTTTGCTTTGGCCAAATGAGTTCCTGATTCCAGGATGGGGAATTATTGGAGTGAGTCAAGTTATTCTTAAGAAAAAAGGGAACATACCAGAGATTAGATACGAATTGGCCCTGTGAAGAAAACAACCTCGGAATCATTAACCCAGAGGTTCAGAGAAGACTAGGGGCCACAGGGAGACAGAATTAATGGTTTACTCCTGACCAGCTTTTCCCTGGACTCAAGGTGGGGAAATCACAAAAAGATCACATCACATTCCTTTCATCTGATTTTCTCCACCCAGACAAGTGCAAGTAAACATTAATCTGGAACAAAAAAGTGCAAAAGAACATGTGCAGGGCATTTAGCCATGTATATTTTTTTTAATACACGTGGCCCTTGTGATTCTCACGTCTCTCCACTTGGCAGATCAACAAACGGGAGTTAGCATTTAAAGGACTTGCTCAAGGCTGGAGGTGATGGTGCAGACAGAGAACAAGCCCAGGGCAACTGCTCTCACGGGGCACCTGCTATATGCTGGCCTGGGTTCCACACAGAGGTACAGAGATGGTGGAGGGAACAGGACAGGGGTGAGTAACTGTTACAACCCCCAGTGACTGATACGGGAGAGACTCATGTTTGGGGAACAGGATCCATTCAGAGGAGGGGTTCTGGGACAAAGAAAGGAGTTGTGGGTGAGGGAAGGCTTCACTGAGGAATTGGCAGTTTTAAGGATAAATAGGGCTCCACCAGGTGGAGGAAGTATGGAGAGCAAGGGGAACAACAGTGGAGGAGGTGCAGGGGAGGGGTTAGGAGAGCCTCGGGTCATGGAAAAGAACATGTGCAAAGTACAAAGGCTTGAAACATCACGGTGTGTTAAGCAATTGCAAGTATTTCAGTATTGCTGGTTGGAAGGCAAGGGGAGAAGCAGTCATGAGGCTGGAGAATCAGGCAGCTGGATCAGGGGGCCTGGAGTGCTGTGTGGATGTCTGGGATTTGGGGAACCACTGAAGGCCAGCACCTAATGAGAGTCTGATTGCTCTAGCTCCAGGGTGGAGAGTTCATGGGCATGGGCTGTCTAGAGATGGGGGATCCTCTAGGAAACTACTGCATTAATCCTGGTCAGAGAAAGGGAGCCCTGAACCTGGGTGGCATTGGGGTGACAGAAGGGGGCAGAATCAAGATATGTTGAAGAGCTGGAAGAGGACCATTTCCCATCCCACATCCTGAAAGACAGGGCGCTCATGGCTTAGGCTAAGCATTCATTTAAGGAGGTGGAAACAACAGAAGTGGAGGTGTCTCCCCGTTGTGAATGTTGATCAGTCAAGGGGGTGCCGAGAAGAGAGGCTCATGGGAAAGCAAAGAGGAATATATTAAGATATAGAACAATATCTTCTAGATGGCTAAGGGGTAAAATATCAGGAGAAGCCAGCCAATGGGGCTGTGGGGCTCCTGCTCTTGGAGATCCGGGGAGGAGAGACCCACCCCACTGAGCGGTTCCTTGTTCATCTGGGCAGGATGTGTTCCCACCCAGGTCTCCTCCACCAGGTAAAGAGTCGCCAAGTAGAGTCCCTTGTGGCCAAGCCTGGGTACTGCAGGTTGGTGCTTGGAGGAGGGGAGCCTGGACTGAGGCTGAGTGGCAGCCAACCTCTCCCTTTGTCACACCACAATTAGCTAATGCTAATCCCAGAGGTATGACCTAGGGAACAGGAGGGGATCTGGGTAAGGAGGATGTGTCTCACCGGGCTGCATGGCTCGAGGCCCCTGGCAGTGGAGTGGCAGAGTGTGGTAGGGCCTGCAAGACAGGTCCCCTGAGAGGTGGGGAATTCAGACTCAAGGGGACAATGAGTGATCACCAAGAACAGGGGTAGGGTCCTTCTGCAGCCTGGAGGTCATTTGAGAAACAATTGTTGAGTACTACTATGGGCAAGATAGAAAATCAGGGACCACAAAGATACACACACACACACACACACACACACACACACACACACCCTGATAATACAAATAAAAATGTGATGGTGGCCTTGGGCAGTGTTCAGAGAGGAGGAGAGGTCTGAGCAGAGCAATGCAGGCTGAGCACTCCTGGCATAACTCAGTCAGAAGCAGCTTCCACCTGGTTATCTAGGGACACTTGCTCTGAGTGCCCCAATTCTTTTGCTCCTTGGTGTATCTTTCGAATTGACATTCTCGTAGCCCCCATGACCCTGCCATTATGTAATTTATGCTGGTCCAAGGAGAAATTAGAAAAATAAGAGAAAATATAGTGAATTTTTCAAAAAGCTTTTTAAAAACCTATCCTTGCCCTGGCCAGTGTTGCTCAGTGGTAGAGCGTTTCGGGTTCAATACCCAGTCAAGAGCACGTACTTGGGTTGCAGAATTGTTCCCTGGCTGGTCAAGGCATGTGCAGGAGGCAACCAATCATTGTGTCTCTCTCACATCGAAGTTTCTCTTCTCTCTCTCTCTCTCTCTCTCTCTTTCCCACCTTCTCCCTCGCTTCCACGCTTTCTAAAAATCAATTACAAAAACAGCCTTGGGTGAGGATTAACAAATAAAAACCTATTCTTTGAAAAAACTATCCTTTGCTTTGAGATCATGTCCTGCCTTCTGTTTATCGTTTTGTTTTGAAGTATAACATGTATACAGAAAAGTGAGAAAGTTGATGCCATTTCACAAAATAACAAGCACCTGGTGAAGAATCAGAACATCACCACATTCTTAGAAGTCCCCTCACTTTCTCTTTCAGTCACTACACCCAAGGGGAACCACTATCCTAACTGCTAACACCATGGATTCATTTTGTTTGCTTTTTCAACTTTATATAATCAAATCACATAGTATATGTACTCTTTGACTGGTTTCTTTTTCTTGACATCATATTTATAAGATTTGTCTATGGCTTTTCTGGCAATAATTCATTACAATTACAATAATTTGATCTGGCAATAATTCAATACATGATACAGTATTCCTCTGTGTGAATATATTACAATTTATTTATTCATTCAGCTGTTGATGGGCATTTGGTTATTTCCAGTTTGGGACTAGTAGGAAGAGTGCTGTTATGAACATTTATACACAGATCTTTCAGTAAAAATATGCGTAGACTTTTGTTGAGCATATACTTAGGAACAAAATTAAATATCTGCATATGTTCCGCTTTAGATGATACCGCCAAGCTATTTTCCAAAGTTGGCTGTGCCATTTTACCCTCCCAGCAGGAACATCTGAGAATTCTGGTTGTTCCACACCTTTGCCAAGATTGATGTTGCTCATCTCTTTCATTTTAGCCATTCTGATGGAATATACTGCCTTTTCTTTCTTTTTTCATGACAAAATATACTTTTTTTAAAAAAATGTAATTATTGAAAATAGTAGTTTTGCTTTAATGTCCTTAATAGGGCAAATTAAAAGTTGGCATCCAAATTAGTTTTGAAATCTCAAACATTCCAAAATCTTAAAAGTCTTATTTATACTTTTAAAGGGTTTTCATTGCAAGGGGACTTATATTTTCAAATCTTTCATATCATCCTGTTCTGGTACCTTTTGCTTTACGACAAACTACCCAAAACTTTGTGGCTTAAAACAACAGCTTTAAAAAAATTTTTTTTTTTATTTTGCCTGGTCTCAGGTGATCAGATTGGCTTCCCTCAAAGCAAGTGTCTCAAGATACCCAAGTGGAAGCTGCTTCTGACTGAGCCTCAGAAGTCATCCCGCATAACTTCTCCCACATTCTATTGGTTACAGGCAAGTCACACGGCCAGCCCAGATTTAAAGGGAGGGGACCTAAATTCCACCTTTTCATAGGAAAATGGCAAGATCACAATGTAAAAGAACATGGGGGTGGAGGGTGGCAATATTATTGTGGCCCTCTTTGGAAAATACAATTTGCCACCCCCCACTCCCAGCCTAACAAAGTAAACCTGGCCAGTATGTACCTGAGAAACCCTGAAGTGTTTGTGGTAGCCACCTCTATCTTTCATACTTTCCCTTTCCTGATCTCCCTCTCTTACACTCTTCCCTCTTTCCTCTTTTCACTTTATTTATTTTTTCAAATATATTTTTATTGATTTCAAAGAAGAAGGGAGAGGGGAAGAGAGATAGAAACATCAATGATGAAAGAGAATCACTGATTCGTTGCCTCCTGCACGCCCCCTACTGGGGATGTGCCCCTGACTGGAATCCAACCCGGGACCCTTCAGTTCACAGGCGAACGCTCTATCCACTGAGCCAAACCAGTCAGGGCTCACTTTATTTTCTTAATTCCTTCTCTTTTGCCCCACTTTCAGTTAACTAAACTCACAGGGACTCCACTGGGCAGATCTTAGCCCAGGGGTGGGCAAACTTTTTGACTCGAGGGCCACAATGGGTTCTTAAACTGGACCGGAGGGCCGGAACAAAAGCATGGATGGAGTGTTTGTGTGAACTAATATAAATTCAAAGTAAACATCATTACATAAAAGGGTACGGTCTTTTTTTTTTTAGTTTTATTCATTTCAAACGGGCCGGTTTGCCCACGGCTGTCTTAGCCCCTTCCTCCCCACTGCTCCCCACATATTGGCAAGCTCTTTGACCCCGGGGCAATAGATTACTAGGGGCACCTAGAACAACAGCATGTTAGGCCGAGAAGGGTCTTGACTAATCCCAGAAGCACTTCACATATGAGGAAGTTGAAACCTACAGAGGAGAGGGATTTTCCCAAGGTCCTACTTCAAGTAAGTAACAATTCTGGCTAGCACAGCACAAAATATAGCTCACAGTGGGTCTCAAAGAATGTCAACACCTGCTTTCCATTTCTGACTTCCTGAAACTAAAGCCACTTGTTTCTGTTTCACATTCATTGCCTCAATATTACAATGTCCTTTTAGCCTCTTGGTCAAGGAGCAAAACCAATACGGGCAGGTTTCCTGCCCAGAGAGACCTGTCCCAGTCCTGGCCTTCAGAGGTGGAATGAGGAGGGGGGATGCTTGTAGATGGAGGAATGACCCCTCTCCAACCATCTCACTGCACCCCAGACATAAGTAGGTCCTTTCTTTCTGATCCTGAAGTCCAAGAATTCTCTGAAGTCAAGCATCAACTAGCAGCCGTTTTTAAAAATTGGGGGGCATCCGGAGATGGTGAATTTAGTTTAGGCCGATGATGACCGAAGTCAGGCTGAGGATAAATCTGTGGTGACACAGGGCAACAAGACAACTGTGCAGACAGGCCCACGAGACAGCAATTCTGTTATGTTAACGTCTGTTTCCTGTGATAACTCCAAACAGGAGGAGGCAAAGGCCCAGAGTGGGGATCCCACCAGACATCCCATCGCATAGGGACTGGATCTTGAGAGAAAAGCAAGGGCTGGAGAAAGCACAGGGGTTGGCACATTACTCAGGGATCTGAATAGTAACGAGATGGAGAATAGCCTGTTAAGAAGCCTCTGAGTTTTTGTAACCCACCAGCTCAGCACTTTCTGTCACAAGGTATTCAGCTCTGCAAGTCCGTGCGCTGTCAGGGAAATCACCTTCGGTCAACAGTGTGAGTCCCCAAGGCTGTAGAAACAGCATCTGTGGAGGACTCTATCAACAAGAAGGAATTGAAATAATTATTTTAATTGGTATAGCCTGTAACCTCCGTTAGGGGAGTAGCCACGTCTTATTGTTTCTGGGTCCCTAGGTCTTGCCCAGAGGTTGGCACATATTAGAAGTTGCATAAAAGTTTGTTATGAAGACATACAGGCATTCCCCTGCATCTAGGCACCACGCCGCCAGGGTATTCCTTCCTTCCATGTATCCCCTCCCCTGCCTCCCAGCAGCCCTCTGCCAGCTCTCACTGATGGGTGGCCCAGGATGTGGAGAGACACCACTAATGAGGTTTAGTCCCTCCTTGCCCACAGTAGCCAGACTAGCACCTCCTCTTCAGCGGTCCTCTATTGGGAGTGGTAAAAACAAGTCATGAGGGTCCCATGCCTTTCTTCCTGTTGAGGTCCCTCTCTCCAGCCTGTGTGCTCCTTCTTGCCAAACAAATAAAGGAGCCATTTCCTTCCCTCCATTTCCCCCCTGGAGGAAAAAACCCCACACCATCAGCTACCAGAGTCATTTCCCAGCCTGTGGTTGGCCAGCGCCCGTGCCTGGCCCTCATCCACACAGCCTGCTGCTGCGGCTGCATCCACTTCAGTAGAAATGGTCGGAGCAGCTGCCACACCAGGCACAGTGCCAGGAAATTAGGAGCCAACCCCATGTTTCTCTCCAAGTTCTTCAATCTTCTTGTTATGTTATTTGGGACTGCTGCGTGTAATAACAGTGGTATCTATTGAGTGCTTCCTCTCTGGCAGCCACTGTTCTAGGAACACTAAAGGGATTATTGGGTTCAGTACTTTCCCCACAACTCTTTTAAGTAGGCATTATTATTCCCATTTTATAGGTGAAGAAACCAAGGCACAAACCAGTTCAAATAACTTACCCAAGGCCCAAGTGGTGGAACCAGGATTAAATCCCACTGGATCCCACAGCCCTGACCCCCACCTTGGGTTGACACCATGGAGTGCCTGGCCTTAGAAGGTATCTGAGACTACACCTGGTGAGTGTCCAACCTACAGTCAGCTGTCAATAAACTCCATGGTTAGAACGCTGGGCACGGAATCGAGTACCACCCTCTCCTCTGGCTGTGGGAACCACTCCATTTCCCTCCACTCCACTGAAATGGGCAGCACCTTTTACTCAGGCTCAGCAGTGCCTGGCCACTGGGGGATTGAGCTGTATGTGTGGGCACAGCAGTGTGTTCCTTCTAGAAAAACAACCCAAAATTCCATCCTCCTGTCGTGTCTCACCTGAAACCACTTTAAAATCTATCATCTGTACATCTTAGTCCCTTGACAGACCCAAGGGATGACTTTCCAGGCCCCAGCAAGACACCCCAGTCTAACATCAGCCTGGCAGGGAGAAAAGGTAATGGTCCCTGAGGAAATGCCTGGTCACAGCCTCACACTCTCTAGCTTTGATCACTAACTTCCCAGATAACAAAAGTCCACTCTCCATTCTAACTAGCCATGCAATGCTTGCCCATCAACTTGCCTCTACTTACCCACCCACTCTTGTTCCTTCTTACCTTTGCCCCCTCTCCCCTTTTCCTTCCTCAGAGCTCCCCTCCACATGGGCTGTGTCATCTCCAGTGAGACTCTCTGTCCCCCTTCCTTCCACCTCTCTTCTCAGATCTGAGGATCCCTCCTCACCCAGTTTCTGTCACACTGAATCTAACCCCCACACATGCCTCATGATGCCAATCCTCTCTCTTAGGCTCCAACACATTAAGGATAATGTATAAGCTTCAGCTCCCAGAAAACAGAGGATCCCTTGACAGAGTTCTCAGTGGGCCCAGGGTGTGTTTTGCAGGCCAAGGGAATGAGGGGACCACCTGTCTACAAGTCAGGGATATTCTCTCTCTCTCTCTCTCTCTCTCTCTCTCTCTCTCTCTCTCTCTGTCTCTCTCTGTCTCTCTCAGGCTGAGGCCTTCCTCTATCACTTCCCAGGGGCACAAAAGCTGGAGCCCATTTGCATTAATTCTCTGAGTTGCTTAGACTCTGAGTCCAGGACTCCTATGGCATGCTCATTTATGCAAACTGAATGCAAATGAATAAAGAAAACTATGTGACCCTGGATTAACTGGAAATCAGAGATTCTCCTGATGGGAAGACTTGGGGAATTTTGAAATCTACTTCCCAAGAGGAATTTAAAAATAGAGTGGCCTCCAGTTGGGGGTTGGAGAGGGATGTGGCTGGAAGTCATTCAGAGGAAGAAGCATAGTCCGAGTTCCATGTCATTTCTAAGTGACACAGCAAAAGTCAGAGGAAGAGAAAGCATCTGGCCACCAAGCTGTCCCTCCCCCTTCTCTTCTGTTGGCTCCGAGCTCTAGTTCAGCTCAGAGCTCTGCCAAAACCACTCCACAGTGTACATGCTGGAGAGCAGAGCACCCAGGATGTCCCGCATTTTTGGAAATGGCATTTTACTTATATCCCACTTCCCATGGCAACACTCCGCTATGCTCCTTTCCTTTTGCATCTCCTATTTTGACTGTTCTGCTTGTCCCTCATTGTGTATACCTGGTCAAGTGAACAAGATGTTCTGGAACCTGGCCAGGGGTGCTAGGCGGTTTGGATGTTCACATAAAGAAGACCTCAGAGGCCGAAACCGGTTTGGCTCAGTGGATAGAGCGTCGGCCTGCGGACTGAAAGGTCCCAGGTTTGATTCCGGTCAAGGGCATGTACCTGGGTTGCAGGCACATCCCCAGTAGGAGATGTGCAGGAGGCAGCTGATCGATGTTTCTCTCTCATCGATGTTTCTGACTCTCTATCTCTCTCCCTTCCTCTCTGTGAAAAATCAATAAAATATATTTAAAAAAAAAAAGACCTCAGAGGCTAGTTGGCAGGTAAGTCAACCCAGGCACAAAGCCTTGGGCACCTCATTTCCAGGAGGAGGGAGGAAAGGACCACTTCAAGAAAGGACAGGAGAGAGAAAGTTGGCCCAGAAACAGCAGCCTAGTCTTCTGACCCTAAACTGAGATGTGAGGAAAACCCCAAGAGGTAGCAACTGACCTTTTCTTAAAGATTTCAAGAGAAGAAACTACTTTTTCAAAATATTTCCAAGAGTCCACTAAGTATCATCAGAACATTTTTACCCGTATTAACATAAATGCTGGGTGCTACCACGGAAGTCATTTTCTCTGGTTCTTTCCATCAACCAGAGAATAGCTATTCCTGGCTGTTATGGTAATACTCCAGCAAACCCTTAACACATGCCATGAAAAGACCTTAAGACAAACCTCCCCAAGACTGAGGGACCACCTCATCACTTCCCTGAGAGACGATCACCCAAACAGAACCTTCCACCCCCAGGTGATAGAGAGCATTATGTATCGATCCTTGTTCCCCTAACTAGATAGAAAACATGCTAAGGGCCAACTTTCAACTTGCCAGTATTTGGGGTTACCCAGAGGGGAAAAAAGTGCTCATTTGTACATTTAAAAGGGAAGGGCACCCTGTGTATCAATTATGTTTTATATATTATACTTTTTAAGTCTTACAATAGTCCCACTAGATATGTATAATTTCCATTGACAAATGATGAAACCAAGGCTAAGAGAGTTAAAGTCATTTGCCCAAGATCACACAGTTGATGAATGGTTGTGGCAGAACCTTCTACTACTCATCAGTATCCATTTCTCCTTTTCTATTTTTTCCCATTGATTTTTTAGAAAGAGTGGAAGGGAGGGAGAGAGGGGAAAAGAAAGAGAGAGAAACATCAATCTGAGAGAGACACATTGATTGGTTGCCCCTGCAAGTGCCCTGCCTAGGGCCAGGGATAAAGCCTGCAACTGAAGTACATGTCCTTGACCAGAATTGAACACGCGACCCTTCAGTCAGAGGGCTGACGCTCTAACCACTGAGAAAAACCAGCTAGAGCTCTCCTTTGCTTTTTAGGTACATGTTAAATGACATTTTCCAGCCTTCTTGTGTTAAAGGCCAGCCATGTGACTGAGTTCTAGCCAATGGAATAGGGGCAGGAGTGATTTTTGCCACTTCCAGGACTGGCCCATAAAAATCTTGCAGGTGGCACTTCATCTTCTTCCCCATCACTATCTGGAGGACCCAGGGCACCACGAAGCCACCTGATTAAGATGGTAGGAGCTTGGTCCCTGAATGACTAGGTGGAGCAGAGACCCTTTACCCTGCCCTCTGCCACCTGTGCTGGACTGTTATTTAACTTGGATGGAATAAAGCTTTACTGTGTTAAGCCATTGAGATTTTAGCTTACCCTGACTGACTAAGAGCATAGCGAAGGCAAGATCTGAAACTAAGTCCATCAAACTCCAAAGACCATCTTCTCTCATTAAGCCATATTGCCACACAATACAACAGAAATATATTAGCTAGTCCCTGAACCTATGCCCCAGAGACAAGCTCTGACAAACTACTGACCCACCCAACAGCTGCTTCACCCTTTTTTTGCTAACAAAACACCAAGTTTTCATTTGTTCATACATCCACCTGGCTTGAGTGGGTGGATAATTGGTCAGTCCCTGCCCCTTGCCCAGGGATTAATTTAATGCTAGATCTGTGACCAGTTCTGGCCAAAGAGACTCAAAACTACTAGGAGCTTCTGGGAAAGATTTTCCTCACTGATTGCACCCCTATCCCATTTCTTCCTGCTTAAGAAGCTGCTCCATGAGAAGGAAAGCTTGGGGCAACTGCAGCCACTTTGCCACCATGAGGGGAGATAGCGGCAGCCAGGAAGAAGGCCGAGAGAAAAGGTGGAAGAGTCACACCAATCCCATAATCACCTCCCTCTGATCTGCAGTTTCCTGTGATAAATTGGCCTCTATCATTTAGTTCTTTATTACAAGCATTTTGTTATTTGAGGCTGAAACATTCTGGTAGACTGATTCACGGAATTTCACTGTTTTCCAAAATAATTAATTGTTGCAGCTAAAAGAGACCTGGGAGATCAACTAGATTTGAGTCTCTTTGTAATAGAAGAATCGGAGGCAGATGCAGAGTCAGAGCCACCAGGAGAACCTGGGCCTCCCGAGTCTTAGCTCATGACAGGTTCCCAACATCATGAAGATGGAGCACCCAGGGCAGGGGCATGGGTGGACAGCCAGGGTCAGAGTGTGGATCCTGGCATCTGAGAGTTGTGGGCAAAAGAAGGGCAGAGTGGGCTGAGCTTGGGCAGGGCTATGGCCAGAGATATCTGAAACACCAGAGTCTGAGGAAAGGCAAGTTATCACCCCAGCTTTATGTTAGGGTGCATGCACGCGCGTGCGCATACACGCACACGCACACGCATGTGCACACAGACCTTTGCCCTGGGCTCCACTTCCCAGGCTCGCCGGGTCTCTGGGATCTCCTGTTTCCCCACTGGCCTGGCAGCGAGATCCTCTTCCTCTCACCGATTAGGGCTTTTTGTGGTTTTTGTTTGGTTTCATGCCCTACACTTGGACCAAAGAGATCCTGAGGAGAGGCTAGAAATGAACTTTTGTACTCTGCAAAGCTCCACAACAGTGAACCAGACCTAGTGGGAACATGCATCGTGGAAAGCAACAAGTGGGCAGAGATGACAGTGCTGTGATTTCTTCAGAGGCTTCAGAAGACTCCCCACCACTCCTACCCCAGCCTCATCCCCAAATCATACTTCCTTTGCCTGGGAAATCCATGCTAAAATCCCACCATCAGAGATACAATGTAAATATTCCTGGGACACAAAATGCCCCATACTACTCTTCAAGGTGAATGAATTTTTATGACCCTTGCAAGTTTTCATGATCCACTCTCATAAATTTTATGTGTCCACTTAGCTGGGCCACAGGGTGCCTAGATATTTGGTCAAATTGTCTCCAAAAAAATGTATACATGCTTTGAATAATTATTAATTCCAATAGGTTAAATCTGAAAAGAAAGAAACATCAATTGAACTATCAGGAAAAAAAATGTATGCATTTGGGGGGGGGGCACCTGTATATTCTGGGTGTTTCTGCAAGGGTGTTTTGTCCTTTCTCAATCCTCACTTTTATCCTCCAATATCCCCATCCTGGGCTTCTTGACTCCCTTTTCACTCCTAAAAAAAGAAATTCAAGAAACCATATTGATCCCTATCCCCTCCATGCCTGCTCCGTGGCTAAGTCTGCCGGTGGCACCCCTCCTCTCAGTCCCCCAGGCACTATCTTGGATGCCTCCTCCTTCCACATCCCACATTCCTGCAGGAGCCAAGTCCAGATCAATTAACCTCAGACATTTCTCCTTCATCAGGCCTTCCCTGTGACCCCACAAGGAAGGGGGTGAGCATTGGGAACCTGGAGGAAAGTTCCTTCTCCCCTTCCTGCAGCCTCACTCAGGATCTGGCAAGGAGAGGTGTGGACAGGTAGGAGGTAATCCACCTTCAGTCTATCTTCCTCACCCATGCCAGTATTCCCAGGGCCCAGCACATCCTGGGTTCCTGCCAAGTATTTGTGGAATGAATGAATGAATATGAAACCAAAGGTGCCCAGAGCAGAGACTGCTGGATGGAGGAGCCTCCAGTCTCCCTGGCTAGCACAGCAGTGAGTCAAGGCAGCTCTTTACACCTCCAAGGCAAAGCTCTGAAAACCATTAGCATGGCCATTAGCTCTAACCAAGTTCACACACTGGGTGCCCATCCCTTGGACCAGTAGCCTCACCTCCCGTACCCAATGCCCCCAGCCAGATCCAGTCTCAGACCTTCTGCCATTGTCCTATTTGGGCAAGGGCAAGGGTGGAAGCCCCTGGCAGGTGGGGACTTTGGCTCCCTGCCCATGCACCCCCAGGAACAGGCTCACCATAGGCAGATAAATGTCAAAGGAAGGAAAATGGGGTTATTAACTGCTCATTAGGTGCCAGCATCTTGAACACATAGAAGTCATTCTGGCCGCAGAGCAGTTCTGGGAGATGGGTCCTACTCAGCCCATTTTTGCAGATGAGAAAACAAACACACACAGGCAAAGAAGTTGAGAGACTTCTTTAAGACGGCACAGCTATTTTTGTCGCAGAGACGTGGGGTTGATTCATATTGGATCTTTTGCTCTAAAGGCCATGCTCCTTCTACCAACCATAAAAACTAAAATGAACTTGAGACCTAGAGGAGGAAACCCTGGTGTCTGGAGTCCACACAGTTATTGTTCCTCCTCTCTCTACCCCCAGGCTGGGTGGGGGAGGGTGGCAGTTCCTCCCAGGCGTCAAGGAGGCTCACTACTGAGGCCTCGCTAAGGCTGGCTCTCTGTGACTCTCAGATGCCCAGGATGGGGAAGGGATACTCCTCCGGAGACCTACCGGGTTTGGGGAGGGTCTAATTGCCAAGGATGGGCCTCCTGGTTCTACCCCATACCCCGAGGGCCTCCTCCCTTTACTGGAGGCCTTGGGGCCCATGGCAAACAGCCAGGGGCAAAATAGAAGCTGCATTTGGAAGGACAGAGTGTCCCACGGGTGAGGTGAGAGGTGGAGTCAATGAAGCTGGCAAGGGGACACCAATTGGCACTTGACCCCAAAGCAGGGTGCGTGGGTTAGGAGAGTGTGCTCGAGCAGAGAATTCAGTCAAGATGGAAGCCATCGGAGGGCAGGGAGGGTAGGGGGGGAGGCAGGTTTACATGGGCCCGCCCAACCTCCATGAGCATGCTCCATTCTGACAGACAGCTGATTCCAACAAGTCTGCCTTCCAGAGCTCTGTGCCCTTGAGCAAGTCACTTGACCTCTCTGAGAGGCCCTTCCTCAAGGTCATCATACAGTTCAGAAGCATCAAATGAGATGGTGCATGTGAGAGAAGCACTGTTAACAAAGCATAGGAGACCAATGGAGAGAGACACTCAATTACCATTTGTTAAACAGGACTGTTCTGAGTTTGCAGCTTTTATCTGATTGGATTTGGGTTACTATTCCCCCATATCGCCTCAGTCTCCCTTTTGATTTGTCCTTGGTTGGGGAATGAAAATGAGCATTGAAGATCTAGTATGTGCTCAATTAGTCCTTCTCTAAGTTGGGTCCCTGGGCAGACTGTAGCAAACATCTCCTGAAATGCAAATTAGAAATGCAAATTCTTGAGCCTCATATATACTGATTTAGAAACTGCGGGCAGGACCCAGGGACTACTACTTTTAATAACTTCTCTGATGATGCTGATACAAACTAAATCCACTCGGCTACGTGTTTTAGTATGAATGTCTCATGCTAAACCAGCCGTGGGCAAACTACGGCCCGCTTGAAATGAATAAAACTAAAAAAAAAAAAAGACCATACCCTTTTATGTAATGATGTTTACTTTGAATTTATATTAGTTCACACAAACACTCCATCCATGCTTTTGTTCCAGCCCTCCGGTCCAGTTTAAGAACCCATTGTGGCCCTCGAGTCAAAAAGTTTGCCCACCCCTGTGCTAAACGAATGTCTCGTTTAGTTGCATAAAAGCCCAAGGAAGTGGGGATTAACATCTCTGATGTACAGATGAGAAACGTGGGGTTTGGAGGAGTTAGTGACTTGCCCCAGGTCCTCACCTGGCAAGTGAGCCCCAGCTCTGTCTGGCTATGCACTGCTACCCTTTCCCCTCACTACTGTAATGCCTCTCAGAAGTGGGGTGGTTCTGCTCCAAGAGGGTTTACTGCAGCATATGTGGGAGGCGGAGTAACTGGGGAAGATGCAACATCCCCCTGGGCTGATGCACACAATAGGCAGCTATTTTTACATGATTAGCAAGACCAACTGGACTGTTGTCTTTTATAAAAATAGGCAAGTATTTAGTGCTAGGGCTGTCCCACTATTGAGCTGGCACTAAGAAGACATCACTACTAGTTTGCAAGGCACACCGAGCACCAGCCATCTGTCAGCATGAGTTTTGGCGGCACTGGCATCTATTGTGGTGCCTGAGGATGATGACAGCATCAGTGATGAGCTGAGCTCCCACGGCTCGAAGACTGTGTTCTAGAGGCTTTGCAACGTATTATCCACCCGGCGTCATTATGCCCTTTCACAGGTGAGAACACCGAGGTCTAGAAAGGCTCAGAGACAAGAGGCTCGGGCTTGCCCGGCTCTAACGATCATTCCTTCCATTACGCTACGCGCTGAGAAGCCAACGCTCAGATCCAGGCCAATCTGGTCCTGGCCTCCGCCCTCAGGCCCACTTCCCCGCTGGGCCCCCTGCCTCAGAACAAAGCCAACTGGAGCCCACGGGCGGGCGCTGATGCGGAGGGTGCCAGGTGCTGAGCCCTAAGGAGCCCACGAGAGACCCGTCAGCGGCCACGAGATGGCGCTGTGGTTCAGGAGACTCGGGGTCCTGCCCGACACCAGCTCCGAGGACCGAGGGCCGGGACACTTGGGGAATGAGACCCATCAAGCCAGAGCCTCCCTGCTCGCGACCGGACCCGAGGGCGCGGAAAGAAGTTGTGGAAGACGCTCTCCCCCGACTTCCAACGGAATCCCTCTCCCCGTCCTCCTACCCCTCCGACCTCCCTGGCGGGGAGGCCGCAGCCGGGAGAGCCCGGCCACCGGGACTCCGCAGCGACTCTGCC